ATGATGATGATGATGATGATGATAGATCTATCATTTATTTAGTTCTTACACATGCCAGATACTCCATTGAACACCTTGCGGACATCACAATTCTGCCTCATAGATATCTTGAATGCATGGTGCTGGTCCTTAGGGAACAAAGCACAGTAGCTTTTCCCTAAAGTCACTGCCAGTGCTGGGATTGTGCCACCTTGGGCAAGGTAGTTACCAGGAAACAGCAGTTACGCTGAAACACATATTGGGGTTGCATCTTGGTTCTCCATTTACCAACTGAGCAACCTCCACAAGTTAATCAACCTGATTGCACTTTAGGCTCTTCATCTGTTTAAGAGATGATAATTCATCTTAGGTAAAATGAAGCAATATGCCAAGTATTGTACCTAGGACAGCACTGGGTATATTGTAGAGGCTCAATAAATAGTAGCTATTCTTACTAGTATTACATATAAGGCACAGTATTGGGTACTGTGAATTATAAAGACTGGAAGTAAACAGATTAGGGTGGTGGGTCTTGTCCCTTGACTCCAAAGACAGAGGATGGAATCTACATGCTCAGTGAGGGTTCCTTCTAGCTTTAGGCTGTGATTCTGTTCTTTGAAGTTGGCACTTAGAAACTAACAACCATATGTCCTGGCCACATTTCAGCAATTCAGGGCAGGTGGTTGCTTAGTAGTGTTACCAAAGCCTAAATATTAGGGATCAACACCTTTAAAAAGAATTGCAGGCCCGCCCTGGCTGGTTTGGCTCAGTGGATGGAGTGTCGTCCTGCGGACCAAGAGGTCCCAGATTCGATTCCGGTCAAGGGGACGTTCTTTAATTGCAGGCACATCCCCAGTAGAAGGTGTGCAGGAGGCAGCTGGTTGATGTTTCTAACTCTCTAGCCCTCTCCCTTCCTTTCTGTAAAAAATCAATAAAATATATTTTTTTAAATATTAAAAAAAGGAAAAAAAAAGAATTACATGTCCTAGCTGTTTTGGTTCAGTGGATAGAGCATTGGCCTGTGGACTGAAGAGTTCTAGATTCAGTTCTGTTCAAGGGCAGGCTTAATTCCCATTAGAGGGTGTGCAGGAGGCAACTGATCAATGATTCTCATTATTGATGTTTCCATCTCTCTCTCCTCCTTTCCTCTCTGAAATCAATATATATATATATATATATATATATATTTTTTTTTTTTTTAAGAATCACAGGTAAGGAATGGCCCTACTAAGCAGTCTTGGTTTCTAAACTTATGACTTGCTGTTGCCATTTGTATTTTCATTGGAAGCAAAACCTCTAATTCAGCCTGAAGCTGGTATCATTAGTCATTCGAAGGTGTGGTATGATTTTGACTAGAAGCTAGACTAGAGGCTCCGTGCAGGTTGGGAGCAGTTATACTGTTGTGGTCTGACCAACCCTTTTTATGAGTGTGTTACTAAAGAAACGTGAGCTATTGGCTTTTCAATTACTGTAGCTTACCCCTTCTGAGTTTCATACACATTGAGTCATCGAGTCTACAGGTGACTGATAATCATCTGCACGACTCAAGTTACCGTAACCCAGAGATGAGGGGATCTGATGATTGCATGGTGCATGCACGTGAAGATCTGAGGCTCTCCCATCCTCTTCATAATGAACAATGTGTGCGTTAACCGCAGAGCTCAGTCACCTATTTCCACTCATCCAGGGGTTCATTTTCCTCTTAATGTTTTGCCTCTTACAGCTTTAGCACTCAGCTGTTCTCGGGCATGTGCTACAGGAGGTATAGATGTGAAGTTGTAGGCCTAATGAAGTAAAGCCAGCTCTTGGGAGAAAGGATAAAAACAGAGTTTGGGCTGTACCTGCCCCACCCTAGAAACTTTATGGGTCCTCTCTGTTGGGAGGAAAGATAAAAAGATTCTCAGGGACCCCTGGTATGGGGAGTTGAGTGAGCTAGCCACACTGGAAAATCATCAATAACCTTGAAAAAGCCAAGAAACCAAAGTTCATCAGTTCTCTGTTACTCTCCGGAGAATGAACAATTGTGACCTTAGCTGGCTTTCCTGTTACTAGTCTCATTCTTCCAAACAGCCTTGATCAAAGATACATCTGATCTGGAAGCTGAAAATAAGAAAGCAAATGTCTGCTTTTCTGTTGCTTTTTGTTGAGTTGCCAAGGTGGGATGTTTTTCTTTGCATATTTTTTCTCTCAGGTATTTGTCTAGAATCTATCAGGTTGGCGTTAAGGTAGTGGGCATGCAGGACAAATCCATTTGATTACATTAAATCTTTCAGCTGGTCTTTCTGGCTCAGTTCTCTCTGTTTGGTTCATCCTACATTGCTGTTACATTAATAGCCTGAAAACAACATTTCTGTCACAAGCTTGCCTTGCTCAAGGGCTTGATGTGGTTTGCTGTTTATTCAAATCCAAGCCTTATGGTTGACCATTCAGAATGGCCATCATGTGGTCCCACTATGTGTTATCTCTCTTCACTATCTTCCAAAATGTGGGATACAAAGTGCCAGGAGGCCCACAGGCCTTTTAAAAACCTTCATTCACATGGCAAGAAATTTATTTTCTTTTTAGTTCTCTTTCAATCTCCCTGATTATATCAAGAAGAAAGATTGAAAAAATTTTTTAATATATTTTATTGTTTTTTTGTACAGAGAGGAAGGGAGAGAGATAGAGAGCTAGAAACATCGATGAGAGAGAGTCATCGATCAGCTGCCTCTTGCACACCCCCCACTGGGGATATGCCCGTAACCAAGGTACATGCCCTTGACCGGAATCAAACCCGGGTCCCTTCAGTCCCCAAGCCGACGCTCTATCCATTGAGCCAAACCGGTTTCGGCTGAAATTTATTTTGATGCTACTTGTTGAACACTCTTGGTGATCTCTGTTTTGAACAAAGACAGGGTAGATCTTTGTTTCAAGTACTCACAGTAGAGTCTGATCAAAATAGAATCAATTACTCCTAGTTTCATTGTCTTTATTTTTCATAGTTACCTTCTTTTTGTGGCAAGTGATTCTGGTTTTCCATATGTTAATGACATATTTTCTTAAAAAAAAAAAAAAAAAAAAAAAAAAGATTGATTTTAACAAAAGAAAGAAATTAAACCAATTCAAACAAAACAAAAAACCCTGATGTTTACCAAGTTTTTTCTATGTGTCAGGTACGGTTCTAAGAGCTTATCAGGGAGTCTGTGAGGTAGATATGATTATTATCCCCATTGTACAAGAGGACTTGGAGCCAAAGAGGTTAAGCAACTTGCCCAAGGTCATGCAACTAGTAACTGATGAGCCAGCATCAAATCCAGTCCATGTGACTCCAGCGTTCATGCTGTCAACTACCACACCACCCTGGGGTGTGAATATTGCAAAATGTGAGGGAATAAGTGAAGCTTGAGAAACACTTTATTTTATACGTCTGATCTTAGCTATACCCAGACTTCCCGTTTTCCCTGCTGTAGGCCCACTTTTCTACCTTCATTCATGCTTCTTCCTCAATGAAGGTGTCCCATCTACCTCTCTGAAAAAATCAAAATCCTCCCATTTCAAGACTCATCTCAAAACTTAGGTTTTCCAAGAATGATTTCCCTCCCTGAATGTTGGCATTCACTTAACACTTAAGTAACTGGTTTGTACCAATCCACCTTGCCTTATCATTCTTTTCACAGAAGACACAGTACTCTCCTGCTTAAATGCTTCAAACATGGCATTTAGAATAAAATCAAAGGCCTTCACCACTTTTAACATTTGTTTTTCTCCAGTTCCATATATACAGATCTTATTTCTCTCCTAATAGGTTGGAAAGACCTCAAGAAAAGGAACTTGTTCTTCCAATCCTTTTGTTTTCTTATATTGTTTTTTTTCATTGTTGAACCCTTTGCTGTCTGGTGGTGACAAATTTGGAACCACAGCATGTCCAGGAAATGTTACAGAAGGGAGGATATGGTTCTGCAAATCTTGCCAGAGCCCGTCTACAGAATGCAAAAGCATCACATTTTAGGCCCACTTCCAGCTCTTGACACATCTTTCCCGCTTTCTCTCCCTTCTACCAGCCACTCACCGCTGAGCACATCTGCCACCGCTCTAGGCCCGCTCCTGCCTTTCCTGTGGCCAGAGCACCTTGGTTTTCTAACACACAACACCCACACGCCCTAAAGGTGGCTACACTGTTTTCAAAATCTCTCAGCAGTTTGACATGAGAAATAGGAAAGGGTGACCACAGATAATTTTTTCAGTTAAGTGTGAGATAGTCCTAATGATCACTAATTTTTTCAGTTAAGTGTGAGATGGGTCCTAAATATGTATCAGTGATACCTTTTTTTAAGCAAAAGAATCACACGCTTTATAAAAGGGACAAAGATCACGATCTTTCATCAAGAAAGCTTTTCTAAAACTTTCTACATTTGAAGCTCTTTTACTGACATCTCAGTCTGCCTGGTGACTGGTGTGTTTGGGGAGTGGCAAATAGAGGGAGTGGGGAGTTTCTGGTGCTATTATTTCTACCCCGGTAGCTATTTTAAAAGCTGCAGGCCAGCCATAGATCATCCCCGCTTTTGGCAATACATCCACCTCCCCCACACACACACTCCCTAAAGTGTCACCAGAAAAAAATAACAAGCAAAATAGAAGTTGGGGGGTTGACTGGTCTTAGTAGTTCATGTGCAGAAGTGCAGATGCCCCCGTGCCCTGCATAAGAAGCCCCCACTGCACCTTGTCCTCGGTTCTCTCGCTTCGTTTCCTCCAGAGTTTCCCTCTGACAAGAGCAATGGAAACAACTCACGTTGTAGTTTCAACATAATGACATCTCTGACACCCCTTTGCTTGCTAACCTAATTTATGTGCATTGCCCTAACGTGTGCTTCCAACCACTGTCCCCTGCGACTTTAGCACCGTATGGAACCATTCTGCATGGACTGGGTGTACCTGCAGGCGACATGCCCTTTCCCTCTTTTCAAGGACTCTGGAAAACCATCTTATAATGGCTCTGCCTTTGTGTTTCTCTTTTTGTAACTCATTATCTTTACTTGTTCTAGGTGAGAAGCGCCACTGCTTTGATGTCAACTATAACCCCAGCTACATGTACGAGAAAGAGAGTGAGATCATACAAACCCGGATGATGGACCAAGCCATCAATAATGCCATCAGCTATCTCGGTGCTGAGGCCCTGCGCCCCTTGGTCCAGACGCCGCCTGCTCCCACCTCGGAGATGGTTCCGGTTATCAGCAGCATGTACCCCATAGCCCTCACCCGGGCCGAGATGCCGAATGGCGCCGTCCAGGACCTGGACAAGAAGCACATCCACCTGCCAGAGAAGAGCCTGCCTTCCGAAAGAGGCCCCTCCCCCAATAACAGTGGCCACGACTCCACAGACACTGACAGCAACCATGAAGAACGCCAGAATCACATCTACCAGCAAAATCACCTGGTCCCTCCGCGGGCCCGCAATGGCATCCCACTTCTGAAAGAGGTACCCCGCTCTTATGAACTCCTCAAGCCCCCGCCCATCTGCCCACGAGACTCCATCAAAGTGATCAACAAAGAAGGGGAGATGATGGATGTGTATCGCTGTGACCACTGTCGAGTCCTCTTTCTGGATTATGTGATGTTCACCATTCACATGGGTTGCCACGGCTTTCGTGATCCTTTTGAGTGTAACATGTGTGGGTACCGAAGCCATGATCGGTATGAGTTTTCGTCTCATATAGCCCGAGGAGAACACAGAGCCATGCTGAAGTGAACATCTGGCCCCAAAAATGATCACGCCCAAGGATTCCACATTGTTTTTAAAAACCAACACCCCCACCTAACAAATCACTCTCAAAACAAACTCAGTTCCAGACTCTTTTTTGTACCACTTTCAGTATCAGAGGGTCATGCTCACGTGGGCAAAGAAAAGCCTGTCTCCATTCAGAAGTTGTTTGCAGATAATGCCGACGTGAAACCTTTGTTTGCCCATCAGGGACTTGAATTTTATGCTATTTAAAAACCAGAGAAGTATTTGATCACTTTCTTTTGCGTCAATAGGACAGGCATACCTTGGAGTTTGTTGCCAGTTGAAAGAGTCCCCCCCACAGTGCTGCCTGGAACACTCCTTCTGAGATATGTCAGCCAGAAGCGCCCAGAGGCCATGAGCCCAGGTCCACACGGAAGAAGAGCTGGCTTAGTGACCTTATGGGAAGTCTCGTCCTTCTGCGTTTAACAAAAGGCGGAGAGTTAGGCTCTACTCTCCCAAACCAATTAGAGTCTAATAGTAAGGAAAAAGACGACCCATAAAATAACTGTTATCAATAACTGAAGACTCAGTCTTGGAACATTAGATCCTTTTCTTATCACATAAGCAAAAAAACACAAAACCGAAGTCATCTTGGAACATCAGATTCTTTTCTTAACACATAAGAAAAAAAAAACAACCCGAAGTCATCTGATAATACATCTGCTTCTCTTCTTTACCCCTCGTCTCCAATTAAAAGCTGCTTTGGGTTAAAGAAGTCATCTATGGGAGAAATTCTACACAGAAAAACTGATTGTTTTTAATACAGACTGCCATGGAAACTCCAGGAAGTTGTCCACTGTGGGCTGTGGCATCCATTTCCTGTGACCAAGATGGGCAGAGCTGGGCCTTGGCCAGTATTGCTCAGTAGTTAGAGGGTCAGCCCACACACCAAAGGATCAAAGGATCTTGGGTTCAATTCCTGGTCAAAGGCACATACCTGGGTTGCAGGTTCAACTCCCAGCTCCAATAGGGGCGCGTGTGGAAAGCAACCAATTAATGTGGCTCACATTAATGTCTCTCTCTCTCTCTCTCTCCTGTCCCCTCTCTCGTTTCTACACTCTCTAAAAATCAATGGAAAAAATATCCTCGGGTGAGGATTAAAAAAAAAAAAGATGGATAGAGCTGGGTTCTGAGGAGGAAAATGGTTTAGCAGCACCAGGGGAGAAAAAGCAATACCACTCCCTACCTGAAGCTCTGTCTCCTTCATGGAGCATTAGTGTACAGACCCAAAGCAAACTTCCCAACAATTTAAAAACAAACAAAAGCAGTCCAAAAAGTATAACTTCATCTCCCTCTCTCCACAGAAGAGGACTCAGAGCTGAGCTTCATGGTGGGGTGAGGGGGGCATCCACTGGCAGGTCTTCGCCAGAAAGGTTGTTTTCTCGTTTTAAATGGAGCCACTGTATCCCACCGAAAGTCCTGAATGTCTGATCTTAGTTTTGCAGATGGTTCTGGTCATCTTTACTCTTAAGAGAAGCATGCTATCAAGGAAAAGCTTTGTTATTAATGTAAAATTAACACTGGAATAGGGGTCACAGAATCTGTTTGCTAATTTCACATTTGCCCCTAATTAGCTGTAGGTCTTTAGGCAAATCACTTAAACTCTTAAAACTAAGTTGTCTCAACTGTTGAATAAGAATTGGATTTAGACAGTCTCTAAGATCTCTTCCAACTTTAAATTTATGTGATTATGCCCTAACCACTTATTTTTCAAAGCTTTTAATGTAGAGGTATTAAATACCCATGAATGTTTGTAAAAGTAAGCATTTAAGCAGCATTAAGTATTAAGTAGAAGAATCTGTATATGAATATCTATGCCACACATCTTTGATGTGAAAATGGTAGTGTTGTTAAGTTTTTCCTTTAACCACTGAGTTGTGAATGTGAAAAGGATGGTGGAGAGGAACAAAAAACAGGAAGGTATTTTGATCTTCCCCAAAGTGTGCACACAAACTGGCACCTGCAGCTGCCTGCCAAAGCCTTTTTTATCTTTTCCCCTGTAAGAGCTTGTGTTAGGGAAAATAGATTCTGCTTCCAGGGACAATTTCACAGAGCCTGTTTACAAATTAAGAGTCAGCTTCATGAACATTTCTACCAGAGCCAAAAATCCCAAATTCCTGGTAAATTTCTGTTTTGTGTGTCTGCCTTGATATTCCTAAAGGGTGTAAGCACTAGGCTCAGACTCATTTATGTAATTAAAATGTTCCACCTCTGACTGCACAAATGGCTTATCCGCTCTTTGTAGCATGGCGTCTGTCTCAGGAAAAAAGATTTTATGAAATTCCATGGCAACAGTCCCAACATGTTGGAGATTTCAGCTAAAAGACTAGATGTGTTTTTGGTGTGTAGTCTTCACTATATCACTGTGTTTCCATAATCCTAGCCTCCCAAGCTGTGCCAGGTTCCTTATACTCATTGCTTTTTATATTCTTGAAATACCACACATCCTGTTGACTCTTCAGAGGACAAAAGAAAGAGAATCTGGAAGCAAGGATTAATAGGAAAGAAAGCTAGGGGAATCGAGCATTTCTGCCAGATTATTGGCAAAGTCTTCACTGAAGACACCAACTTTTGCACCCCAAGGTAATGAAACTAAGGCCCACCCATCCATCGAGGGACGCTTTTTGTCTCTATGACTCTCATTTTCCCTGTGACTAATGGGTTTTCTGAATGATTTCCAACGGCTGCACTTTCATTGTAACATTCTGAGCCTGGATGGGGGCACTTCCAGTCAGATATAATTTATATGTGGAAGCTCCACATTCTTAAATCTTAGAGTTGAACCAGGTGGTATGTCATGGTTACCACCACCACATAGGTAATACTGCCTTCTGTGGGCACACCTACTGACTAATGGCCCCTACCATCCTCTGCTGGGGCAGTGGAAGAGGAGAAGGAGAATCTTAGCAAGACACTTGGAGACTCGCATCTTTCCCAGTCGGACAGGGAAGTCCTGCAGCAGCCTCAGGCACACATTCACCTTCTCAGCCAGAGCCTCTGGACAGGAGCCGAGTAGGTCTCTACTCATTTCCCACCAGCCCTCTTGTGAGGCAGGCCTCCCTCCACATACTGAGGAGGCCATGATCGGGGAAATGACCAGCCCCGTGAGAAGTTCCCTGACGCTAAGATGACAGGATTGGGGGGCGGTTAGAAAAGGAAAAGAACTGCCTCTTCAAATATTTTTTTCATTATTTGAAATGTGGTCTAGGTATGTCCTACTAGCAGAGAACTGAATGGAGTGTTTCCCCCATTGCCCTCCACCACCATCACCAAAAAGATAGGTGCCTTGGTACAGATAAGCTAGCTAACCGTAGGCTTTGTTACCTCTGAGCTGTCCTGACTCAGTTTCTGACTCTGTCAGTGACAAAGCTTCTCACCTTTTAATGCTTAACATTTGTTAGGATGTCCTGCCTTCATTAACGCCCAGATATAAAATGACCTCTGATTTCTTTTGCAAAGAGAAAGTTTTAAAAACACAAAATTTTACTTGGTTGAAACACTGTATTACCAAAACTCAGATCAACATAAAGTTCTTCCAAATAACCTCTATATCACTATTATTTTTCTCCTTTGCTAAATGTGAGGTTTAAAATGTTTTAAGGAGAAAAAGCAGGGACATATATATATATATATATATATATATGACCATAATGGAAATGTCAAATGTTAAATCTTCTTAAGTTCTAACTTTTAAAGCCTATCTCACTGGGAACAGGTATCTTGATCTCTAATGGAGATTTGGAAACTCAGGGACACTCAAGATTTAAGCCCTCAAACGTGTCTGATCTCTTTCACAAAGACTCAAAATTAGGATTTGTGAGCTCAAGAGTAAAAGAAGAGATGAAGATTTTGTTCTAGAACATAGCATCAGGCTGTGCAGAAGAAGAAATAGTGTTCTCTCTTTTTATTTTTATTGAATATATTGGGGGTGACATTGTTTAATAATAAAATTATATAGATTTCAAGTGTATAATTCCCCAATACACCATCTGTATATTGTTTGTTCACCACCCAAAGTCAACTCTCTGTCACCATTTATTACCCCCTGATCCTCTTCTACCTCCCCACCCGCCCTTCCCTCTGTGTTTATGATACAGACATATCTATCCTTTTTAAAAAATTGGGAGCTATTTTTGTGCTCAGACAGTATAGTTCAGAGACTCTCTGTGGGCAGAGTTCAGAAAAGCAGAATAATTGGGGATTTTAAGTGCCTATAAAAAGGACAATTGTGACCTAAACCAAAGGCTAGCTCTGGGCCACCCTAGGAGAAGGACTGCTCTCTAAGGCTGAAGGACTGAGTGGCTCTGAGCAGGATCAGTGAGCGGGGACTGCTGCCTCTAAGCACTTTGGACTCGGAAGAGACATGTTGGCTTTAAACTTGCGTGAGCTCCTAACACAAGACTGTGCATCTGTTTATCCAAGCTGTATATAGTCTGCACCCACATGCCACCGATAAACAAATCTTTGTATTTGGAAGAAACTGGATGCAAGTTTCCTCTGAATGTCATAATCATGGACTGTTACGTTGAGATTGAGCTGTTATTTGAAACCATAATGTTAATATTTTGATTTAAAAATGTAAGGTTAAAATGATATCTACCTCCCAAAGATGATGTGAGGTTTTATGTAACTTTGTGTATAGGGTAATGTTACTTTTTTTTAAGGGGCTGGGGGATTATGTCAGATGCTTGCACATTTTTCACTCTATGTACCATATCTAGATATAAAGACATGGAAGTATTCTAGGACCATAATAATTCAGTTGTCAATGGAGACAACTGGTCTCTAACAGTTTCCTTCATGTTGTTTTAAGGCATAAGAGTAAGAAATAATGTTGAACCAAAGTGAGTGAACTACGTGCTGTGGGTACTTCACGGCATTGCAGCCAGGGAAGCAGAATAGCTCTGCACCCTCACTGTCCTATGAGCTTCCAGCCGTTAATTCCCCTGGGAACTCAGAGTTTCTCCAGGTGGCCCTCACTGTCCAGCTCCCCAATGACCCCCTCCAGAAAGACTGGAGGGCTGTCCCGTAACGCCACCATCTTCTCCCCCGCCTGTGCCATGCCCCGTGGGGCCCATTTCATATTCTCAATCCAAGTGTAGCTTTGCTTCTAGAGTATATTTTCACATGTCGGGAAAATGGGGCAGCCTTAAGCATGACTGATCCCATTGCCTGTGACTCATTTACACAAGGACTCCTCCAGGTTAGCAGACAAGGCCCTTTTCGGTGGGCCTGCTTCTGTGGGTTCACAGAAACCAGATTATGTGGGCTGCAAAGAACTAGCAGGTCATTTGAAAAGCAGACATCCCTTCACCCAGACTGTGGTTCTCAGGTTCTCAGTGTGCAAGCTTTGGTGAGGGATCATTTCAGCAGCTGGAAAAACCATCGCTTATTTTTAAGTTCTGCTTGCCAAAGCCACCGCACGTGTGGTCTGTGGATGACCCTTGTCTGCAGAATGACAGGGGAGGGAGGGAAGGTGGTTTGGGGCTCGGCGGCCTTTCCACCAGGAGAGAGGAAGGGAGACCTTGCTGAGCAGTGTGACAGCCTGTGCTCCTAGCATTCTCCTCTGGGTTTCTCAGAAA